GGGCTTTGGGGCGTTTGGTTGGTGTATCTCTTGCTTTCCTTTTGGAGTTGTTCTGCTTTTCATTTGCCACCTGAAGGATAAAATCAGTTTGCGGGATTGGTATGTAGAGTTGGAAATCAATCTCTTCCAAATGCGACGCCGTTCATTTCGAGGGTGTCAAAGATAAGGTGTTGGAGTTTGTGTGTGGAAAATGTTGAGAATTTGTGATGAGTTTAGGGACCCCAATGGCGCTTGGGGAAATAGATATGGGGGCTCGTCCGGGATTTTGGAAAGCTCCTAAGCATCTCCTCTATGATGTGAAAGAGGAGGAAATATACCAGAGTCTTCCTTCACATTGCCTCTCCTTTTCTTGAGACCTCCATAGCATTTGGTTCCCATGAATGGGGAGCAGATGCACGGGCATTAGGCAGGGAGGGACCAAAAAGACACACTGATTTTATTCTTCAAGATGGTTTTGTTTCTCCAGTTGAGTCTATTTGTTTGAGAGGAGAATGTTGTTGTGTGGTCAGTGTACCAAGGGGCGCCAGGTATCCAGTTCCAGTCTCTACAGAAACCCACGGTTAACAAACACACAACGAGGGGGGAAAGTGGGTTTTGGGTGCCAACCTGAATGTCCTTTGAGCTTCCCAACTGGTCAACTCAGATGTTTACAGTCCCGATCAAAGGGAGGTTCGGTCATCTGGGAACTCTCTCCATTTGGAGCCACATCTCCTTTGTGCAAAAGGGTATCAACCCTCCTGTGTCTTCCTTGAGCAAGTAGCAAGAAAGGCCTTCTATCCCAGTCAAAGCAAGAACCAGGTCTAGTCAGTGTTGATGGCCAATGGTGCAAAACAAAACAAAACAGGGTAGTTGGGAGTGTGTTGATGACTCCAGTTCCCTACCGTTTAAGGCCAGATTCAGGCCAACTGTGGTCCTCTAAGATGTCGTTTGGGACTTCAACTCCCAGCTAACTATGTTGGATGGGAATTGAGATCCTGCCACATCTGGAGCACTGCCATTGCCCACCTCTAGACGATGTCAGATTGGAAGGACTTTACTACATTACAAAAATAACATACCCTTTTGTCTTTGTATGTAGAGGTCTATCCTAGGGTGCTTCCAGACAGCACTAAATCACGGGTTTTAAACAGGAGGGAAAAATACCGGGACTTCCAATGAGGTCCACATATAGACCTGTTGGCCTTGGGATTTCTGTCTCTGTTTATGCTTTGTTGCGAGATTTAGAGGCTCCCAAGATGGCCTCCATGTGATCTCAAAATGTGGATATGCGGAGAATCACTGCAAAAAGTTTCGTTCTTTGTCCTGGCCAGAGAAACTGTGCTCTCCACATGTTTCATGAAGTTTCTGGCACACAAACAAAGTTTTTGCCTTCTACTCCAGTGTCGCCTTCTTTTTAGGAACTCACCAATCAGGAACAAATATCTAAAACCCGGGAACAAACCCAGATTTTAAAAAATCCTTGCAGGGAGGTATAGACATGCGAAATCCGCATATCCCACACCATGAAATCTCGCATTTTTTACCTTTTGTAGCGATTGCTTCCATGTTTACAAAGGACTGTGTCTGGCCACTCTCCTGTTTGCTGTGGAAGCTCCCGAGATAAAGGTACTGTCTGGATGGGCACCTAGTCTGAGGCTGCGATGATATTGATGTACTCAGTTATGCATACATTTGCCAATGTGTTTGCTGCCTGGTCGAGAGGGATGTGTGTGGCATTTGCAGATGTTTTCATTCCTGTTGAATTAATCTGAGTGGCTGGTTTTATTTTCCCTGGATCTCAAGAGTTTTTTGTAGATATGCTCATTTCAGATACTCATTTCAGTGGGAGCCCGGAAGGGGAAAATATGAGGGGTATTTTTTAAGTAAGGTCCGTTTTGTTGTAGACACTAGTCGTTCGTGCACATACCGCAACGAGCGGGTGCGTCGTATACCGGCATGCCTCCGGAATAACTGTGCTCATTTTCCGCTCTGTAGCTAACCTGTACGGTTCTGTTCTGTGCTTTAAAAACGTTTAAGACTATCAACTCACCCTCCGCATGTGTGGTTCGTTCAGTGATACAGTTTTTGTCAGCAAGGAACCTGCCTGCTGCAGAAATTCATCGACAGATTTGTGAAGTGTATGGTGATACTGTTATGAGTGAAAGCAAAGTGCGTAAGTGGGTACGACAATTCAAAGATGGCTGTGACAACGTCCATGATGAGGACTGCTCCGGTCGCCCTTCTTTGATTACAGACGATTTGGTGGCTTCAGTTGAAGCGAGGATTCGTGAGAAGAGGCGCTTCACAATAACAGGTCTCTCAAACAAATTTCCTGACGTGTCGAGATCAGTGCTTTACAACATTGTTTCTGAACACCTAAAGTTTAGGAAACTGTGCTCCCGTTGGGTCCCGAAACTCCTAACAGAGGACCACAAAAACCAAAGATTTGAGTGTGCGATCAAATCAAATCGTCTGTAATCAAAGAAGGGCGACCGGAGCGGTCCTCATCATGGACGTTGTCATGGCCATCTTTGAATTGTCGTACCCACTTACGCACTTTGCTTTCACTCATAACAGTATAACCGTACACTTCACAAATCTGTCGATGAATTTCTGCAGCAGGCAGGTTCCTTGCTGACAAAAACCGTATCACTGAGCGAACCTCACATGCGGAGGGTGAGTTGATAGTCTTAAACATTTTAAAAGCACAGAACAGAACCGTACAGGTTAGCTACAGAGCGGAAACTGAGCACAGTTGTTCCCGAGGCATGCCGGTATACGACGCACCCGCTCGTTGCGGTATGTGCGCGAACTACTAGTGTCTACAACAAAACGGACCTTACTTAAAAATACCCCTCGTAATAATAATTTTGCAACTCGAGGTGCCTCCAATCCTGACATCCAAGCTGTGCCAGCATGACCAATTTGGGCTCTCATTAGATTGCACCGCCCATCAGTGCTAGTTGGGAAGCAAGGGTTGAGGGATGATGGGAGCTGCAATCCAAGAACCTCTGGAGGACCACTCTGGCATACAGCTTGGCTTTTCAAAGAACAGTTGTCTAGGGTTCTTCTTCCTCTTTGCCTTGTGTCACAAAAGCCTTTTTCTTAAAATAATAATAATAATAATCCTAAAACATGTGTGATGGTTTCTCCAAGACCTCAGAAAGGAGCTGAACTTTGATGGCTGTCAAAAGGAAAGATCCAGAATGGATAGGTGACGTTGCCTTAGCTTTGTGGTGTCTATGTCAGGGCATGTTCTCAGGAGGTCTTCTTTTCCTCTAGATCAGGGGTCCACAAACTTTTTAAACAGAGGGCCAGGTCATAGTCCCTCAAACTGTTGGAGGGCCGGATTATAATTGGAAAAAAATGAATGCCTATGCATAGTGCACGTATCTTATTTGTAGTGCAAAAAACATTAAAATGAAGAACAATTTTAATAAATATAATCTCATTAGTATTTCATTGGGAAGTGTGGGCCTTCTTTTGGCTGATGAGATAGGATTGTTGCTGTTGTTGTTTTGGGCTTTCAAGTCATTTCAGACAGGTTGACCCTGAGCGAGGGCCGGGTAAATGACCTAGGAGGGCCGTATTCGGCCCGCGGGCCGTAGTTTGAGGACCTCTGCTCTAGATGGTTGCCAGTTCAGGTGCAGATTTAGTATTTCAGTTGGTAGTGACGGAATCTTATTTTGAAGATGTTGTCTATCTGGGTTTCTCATCAGACGGGATGACGCAGTTGGCGATCTTTCGTTTGAACTATATTTTCGGCTTCAGAAAAATGCCTTTGACCGCAAGCAGAAAATGTCCAACTGTCACAGAAAAGCCCAGTCCAGAGTAGATGAAATCCAGTAAATATGAATCACAGAACACTTTGTGTGTATGTGTGTTGTGTTTGTGTCTAAGCTAAGATGGAGGTGCCGACTCTAAATTCATGCAATCTAGTTGAGCTTCTACTTCATCTTGTTCCCAGGACAACATTTATGGGATTTTTTTCTCTGCTGTAATGTTCTGCACTAATAATAATAAGAATAATAATCATCTGTATAAATAAAAATGTAATGTTCGTTTGTGGGATTAACAGAACTCAAAAAGCACTGGACGAATTGACACCAAATTTGGACACAAGACACCTACTAACCCAAGGAGTGACCATCACTAAAAAAATGATTTTGTCATTTGGGAGTTGTAGTTGCTGGGATTTATAGTTCACCTACAATCAAAGAGCATTCTGAACTCCACCAATGATGGATTTGAACCAAAAGTGGCACAGTCCCATGACCAAAAGAAAACACTAAAAGGGTTTGATAGACATTGACCTTGAGTTTGAGAGTTGTAGTTCACTTACATCCAGAGAGCACTCAATTATAGATATGGACCAAACCTGGCATGAATACTCAATTTGCCCAAATATGAACACAGGTGGAGTTTGGGGAAAATATACCTTGACATTTGGGAGTTGTAGTTGTAGTTACTGGGATTTATAGTTCACCTACAATCAAAGAGCATTCTGAATCCAACAGAAAATACTAGAAGGGTTTGGTGGGCTTTGACCTTGAGTTTGGGGAGTTGTAGTTCACCTACATCCAGAGAGCACTGTGGACTCAAACAATGTTGGATCTGGACCGAACTTGGCACTGA